CAATCATCAGCAAACTAAGATCCACGCTCATCTACCTCAGCAGAAATAAGAGCTTTATTAGGGGAACATAAATTTACTCAAATCCAAGATCTGGACAAATGGGAGAGAAAAAAAAAAAAGAAGAATGAATAAAACGCCGAGGCCATAGTGCCACTCACCACACACAAAGCCATCTGGGCTGACGGCAAAAATACTTCTTCCCTTCAGCAACTGCGGATGCGCACAACTGGCGTTGACGAAGCTCTGAAAGTTGTTTTCCGCCACCCACTGCGGGAGCCATTTTAGTTGGCAATCACACAAAAGGCTTGATGTATTTAAATGCCTGAAGAGAGTAATTACATTCAATTTGTTTTGTATGAAATGCAGATTTCTACAAGTAAATGAAACTCAAGTAAATACTAACAAAGCAATGAATGCGGACACCAAATACATACAACCCACGGAATAAACATTCTATAGTCCATCTTCAAATGCAAGATGTGGAACTAGCACCGTTTTTTTGTTGTGGTGGTTCTTACTGATCTGCGCAGACAGACGTGCTGATGTAACAAACACACCTGACTCCTGGACACTGCGTACTACGAGAGAGGCTCTGCGCCGTAACAGGCCCCGCCCGCTTAAACTGCAAAATCGCAACGGAAAGAAAAAGGAACTCCTCTTTTCCACAAAGGGAACAAATAACCAACTCCTCTTGCTTTCTCGTAATAAAAGTTATGTGAAGAACATGCCAGATACTTTCTATAGACACGTCATCCAGGAGGACCTACCCCATGACAGGACCCCCCTCTACGCTTTATCTGAAATTCTTGGATGGAAAAGAAAAGCTTACAGTTGTTGAAGTTTCTTCATTTGTGAGAAAGCGTTGCCTTGCAATGACATGATCGCGTTGTCACTCAGGTCTCTGAAAGCAACCACGTCAAGTGCGTTAGAGGGAGTCGGGGTCACCGGGCGCCTTCAGGCACAGGCTGGACCCGCCTGCCCGCCCCTTCACCACCAAAGTGCTCTGTGTGAAACGCACCAACGCGGGGACCAGAGGAACTCAACAGGAAGCCGGGTTTGAACACAAGGACGCCTGCGTCAGAGCAGGTTCCGCTCTGGTCAGACAGAGTTTACACCACCACAGGCTTTTTGGCCCACGAAGGGCCTAAGCTATTCTGCCATGTTATTTTACCGTATTTCTCATTATTCAGCTTAGTAACGCTTAGTAACTTTTAAATACACAAATAAAATTCCTCATAATTATGCTTTTTAAAAACCATCATGGACAGAATGGACAGAATGCCTTCCATGATAGGTACCGTGTTATTTACATCTACACGTTATTACAATTATCCCTCACAGCAACCCAAAAGAAGATGATCTAACTACTCCTTGGTTTGCATAAAAGAGGCAGATCAGATGTGAACTCAGTTATTTCCAGTTTCAAAACCGATGCTCTGAGTCACCAGCCTACTCTGCCACTCACAACTCACTGACAGAGAGACAGCAAGGGGTTCAGACAAGAGGTACTCGCTGAAACAAACCAACCAACGGCCACTTCAGGCAGGACGTTTCCAAATGAGAGTGTATTCAGGCTGATTTGATTTTTAACTCGTACTTACAAGCAGTCTGAATTAAAGTCCTCGCCACAGTGATTGCCACTCTGCTTCCCTTTACATGGGTCAGGGTAGGCAGGAGGGATTTTGAAAGAGACAAGTGGCAGCAGAAGACAGAATCAAGGTCCCAAACATGGGCAGGGGAAGAGGCTGGGGGAGGCACACAGGGTTAGGAAACTGAAGCAGAGGTCAGTACTCCCCTAACCCACTAATTCCACTTTCCCAGAAACATTATGGGTCAGATGACAAATGCTTTTGGCTAGTTTCCCTTTGAAAATAATTTGTTTCACTAAGTCCAGCAATACTGGCCCACCCTTCCAAACTATGCTTTGCAGAGTCATCAGACCACAACCCGCACTGCTGCACGGCCAGTGCGGCTAGCGACCCACAACAATGGGGCACAGATCACAGCTGGACACGAGCACCAGTGCCGGCACAACCAGATGTGTCTCTTACATCATAACTGCTTTTGTCCAGGTGAACGGGTATTAAAACTTGTGGCTACAGAAGCACTCCTCAACAGTCAGGGCGAGCAGGCTTCACGTCACTTCGGCCTCTCACTGCACACATACACTTGCAGACACGGCTATATGGCAAGCTAGCTGGCTTTGTGATGGGCAGGTTCTGACTCCCAGCAAGGCTGCCTGGCTTGCCCTCCCAGTGCCTGAAAACGTTTCCATCCCTAACTGTAATTTCAGAAATGTGTGCCGGGAGTTACAGAGGGCAGACGCTGTGAGGGCAAGAGCTGCTGAGAAAGCGGAGGCCACCCTGGTTTGAGTCCTGCTTCTGCCAGGACTGAGAGGTTGATTAGCAAAGGAGAACGATGAAAAGAAAAAAAGGAGGAAAAACAGGCTGGACATTTTATACTTAAGCAATAGCCACAACAACAGAAATCCTCCAAGCAGCCTTAAAGCTCTCCTTCCACTTTCTCGAAGACAGGGGGACCTGTCTTTTCTGATTTTTAAAATGCAAGTCACCTCCTTAACTGCTCAATAGAACCGGTGACCCCTCAGAGCCTCCATGTCTTAACTTAAAAATTAAGATAAGAATAGCTATTGAATAGCTTTCTTGTGAGGATTAATTGAGACAATATTATATATAAATACTTGGCAGAATGCCTGAGAGGCAGAGCATATGTGATAAATGGGAGCTTTTAAAAAAATTAAACGTACCTCTGCTTGAGAAAAATAATTAAAAGAAAACCCAGTAATGATGTAATGTCCTTAAATGCAAAAGAAGTATGTACCTGTGTACGTACACTTTCACAGAGATACAGACAGAGGAACAGGTAGCTCGGTAAGGCGGAAGACAGACAGATGTGTACAGACGTGAGGACACCAACAGAATTCCGTCTGGTTTACGTCCTCTTTCGTGATGCGTAAGCAGAGAACCAGCTCAGACTTCCTTGAGGGGAACAAAGTCCTGCTACTCACAGGTGTTCCAGTGCATCCAAACCACTGAAGGCCTTTCTGGTAATGGATCGAATCCGGTTTCCCTGGAGTGTTCTTAAAAAAAGAAAAATTATAACGGAACAGTTAATAAAAGCCATCTTGGAGTGCGATTCTCATGCAAAGAATTGCTTTTTAAACCATTTGTGAATAAGTCTGTTCTCTTCAGTTAAACAACATAGCCTTAAAAAAAATGTATCCGTGCCATCTATTTCAGTAATACAGTTCAGCATGGTTGCAAAGCATTCACCAGAGAATCCGGCCAAAATAGGTATTCAAGAAGCCACTCTGACGGTTAAATTAAAGCAGTGATTTTTCGAAGAGGTAGAAATTTTTATTCCAAGTCGAGTGTCTCCGAACTCTAATAAGTAAAGCAGGTAATGGGGAGACTTCCTCCTTCCCCTCCCCCTCCCTCCCTGTAGATACCTTCATTGTCCACAGACCTTTAGGGCTACGTGGAACTCAATCTGAAACCACTCACTTAGAACTCAGAATCCGGCCATCAGCAAGGCCATTTTGTGGCTGAATATAAAGGTTTTTATCCTGTATTGCTTGGAACCCACTGCAGTATTATTGCTGGATACTGGATCACTTCATTTAAAAATTCCTCTGAGCAAAGGGCAACACTGGACTTTTCGAAGTGTTGAACTTAGTAAGTGCGCTAACTTTTACACAACGATCATCTCAAGAGTCCAAGCACTCAAAACAACTTAAAACTCTTATCTGGACGCGAAGGTAAGCCGCGCGCTGACTGAAGCGTTGAGTAAAACCACTATGTCCAAGAAAGAAAATCTAATTAACATACACTCTGTATCAGAGCAGTCATCTGGGGAAACGACGAAGGGTGGTGACCGACTAAGCACCTACTTCTGAACTCTTTAGAGATGCCAACTTGTGTGTGGAACTGACTGGGATTAAGACAAACCGTTTCGGTCAAAGAGCAAGGCAGACTACGAAGCAAATCACTCACAGACGCCTCAGTTTGTCAAGGCCAGAGAAGGCACCGTTCATGTCCTCGATGGTCCAGGAAATTTCATTGTTCTTCAGATCCCTGATTAACAGAAGGAAAGTTACCGAAACTAGGACCAGGCTCCTCACCAAAGATACAGGTGTTCTCTTCAGAGATGTGCTTAGAAATCTAACATCACCTCCCAGGCGGCACGTAGCCTGTAGGAAGTTCATCGCACTCCCCATGTCATCTCTGCCCCTTTCAAAATGACGGGAACTCTCTCTCTCCAACATACCGCTTACATCCTGCCCTTCTCACTCAGCAACGTTTTAGGTTTTTGCCCGAAATCGGGACAGTTGACTCTGGCCCTATTAACTCCTCTATCAAGATGACTAAATTTTGAAAGTCTTGAATGGTCTGAAAAATACATTAAACTTTAAAACCACTGTTCCAACCACACAAGGAGCAGTTCGCCAAAGCACACAGCATGTCTTTCAATTATGTAATGCTTCAAACAGCAAACAGAGCAAGCCTTTCCAACAGGCCAAAAATCAAAAGCCCGTGGCACGACATTAAAATGAACATTTGAGAGATTTTTTTCAAAGGTCAATTAGTCCAACTCTCTTTTCTTTCTCTTGGGACAGAATCAAGTCTGGATATAACTGGCCTGATAAATATGCATCTTCTTTTGCTGTCCTTTGTATATCTTTTTCTGCTCTGGGTCAATTTTTAATCAGCATTTTCACAAAGAAAAATTTAGAGATTTAAAACTGCTTCCCTCTTGAGCCGTTACCAGCTTCCTGGACATCCCGAGAAGGCTAACTGTAATCGCCCACACAGTCTGATCACTATCCCTGCAAAATCCCTACAAGAAGCACATGTGGACAGAATGGGCCAGTTGTAATCAAACTGATCTGGGAAAGATTAAGACACCACTTCTGAGGCCGTACACATTTCCTTCACAACAAAGGAAACCTGCTTGGAGAAAAGTGGGCACGTTTAGGAACCAATTAGGTTCATGTACAGAGAGCACAATGTGTAACTTACAGTGTCTTTAAACTGGAAAGCCCCCGGAAGGCGCAATCAGCGATGTAGCTGACTTTGTTATTCCCGATGTGCAGTGTATTTAGCAAGCTTAAGCCCAGGAAGCTTGAATCATCTAACCTCGATAAGTGATTGAAAGTTAGGTCCCTGTAAAGAAAAAAGGAACAGGAAAACAAACAATAGCGTTTATTTTCCAGTTCAACACAATGATCCGCTTAAAAAAAAGAAGGATGAGATATATTAACACAATAATCCTTATTTTAAAACTCTGCCTTTTTAATAATACCCAGGCAAACATTATTTCTAATCCTAGTAATTAAAAAAATTCTCTTTATTTGAAAATAACCACCACTGCTTTGGCCCGCGTGCCACAGAGTCGAAACAGCAGAGCTGGCTTCAGCTTACTGCAGCTAAACTCTGACTAGGTTGCATGTGAAAAAAGCTGTCACCTTGGAAACTTTGTTATGAAAATTTCACAGATCAGTGGTAAGAAGCTCATGCTCTGGCTTGATTCCTGCTCTCGAACCTGAGGAGAATGAAAGGCAACTCACAGCTCGCTGAGTTTCTGGCAGAACTCCCAGGCGTCAGGGCTGATCCTGCTGATGGCATTCTGGCTGAGATGGAGCTCCTGCAGCGTCAGCAAGCCATAAAGCCAGCCTTTGGTGATCTCTGTCAGGTTGTTATGGTCCAGCTGCCTACAGTTACAATAAGAACCAAAAGCCAGATCCAAAGCTCATCATCTAGACTCTTCCAAGGGGACGTATGATTACAATCCACTACATATTCCTATTGTTCCTAGAGGTTTAGCTTTTGTTATGTGAAGACATCAGCACAAAACACCATGCTTATAAATTCTCAGTCACATTACCTGAAACAAAACTAAAAATTAAATGGTATGATTGTAAATTATGAGATTTTAACACTGGATTTCACATGAAAGCTACTAAATGTTCACCGAGCATTGCTTGATCACACTTCCGGAGTAGGAACTGTGACAACCCCCACTTACAAGATTTCCATGTTGCTCAGCCCCCAGAAAGCGCCATCCATGAGTTTTGTCACGCCATTCCTCTGCATCTTCAGAGACTTCAGAGCACCAAGCCCTTGGAACGTGAGCCCATCCACATTTTTAATCTTGTTTCGGTTCAGTTCACTGCATTGGATATTACAGTTAAACAGTTAGCTTACGTGACAAATTCCGGAGGTAGTAATAAAATGTGACATTACTACAGTAGAGTTAAACCAGCTAGTGTTAAATCACATAGAATGTTTTAAATTTCTAAACATTTTCATTGAGAAGAATTTTGATTTACTAGCAGTGAGTCAATTTCCTTCTGAAGCATGGTATACTTTTGGAATAAAATACTCACACCAGACGACACTTTAATTTCTAAACTGTTGTCCATTCAGTATAGAAGTAAACACATTAATATTGGTTTTTAAATTATCCAGAATGGGAATGTTGAATATCATGTGGAAAGAGGTCTACTCAGGAGCAGGGCCATCAAGTTTATCCTGTTCAGTCTGCTAACAAAAACTGATTTCTTTCTTTGACAACTAGGTCCATGTTTAATGTTTTCACTTTAAGGCAGTCACATTCTCAACTTTGGCTGCACTCAGGAATCACCTGGGGAAGTTCTAAAAACAACTGAAGCCTGGATCTTACCCCCAGAGGTTCTAATATCATTGGTCTAGGCCCAGGCATTGGGACTTTTAAAAGCTCCCCAAGCGACTGTAATGTGCAGCCAGGGCTGAAAACCGCTATAGTGGAGGAGCCTGCTCACAGACAGGGCTCCGCTTACTAACGAGACAGCTCTTCACGGCTGCTTAGGCCATCAGGGCCCCGCAGCTGTCGGCACGGCCCTCATATCCACAGCGGTGGGAGTCCCCACGCCGTCTTCAGTGCCACGACGATGTCTCTGACGAAGGCCATTCAGTGATCACCCTGCTCACTCTTTCAGTAACAACCCAGCCTGCCTTGTCAGGCAGAAGCTTGCGCTGGGTGACTGTGAGGCTCTGAGGTAGAGATTCTGCAGCTCTGGCTCCCACAGGGGAAGCAGCCACATCCTTGCCTCTGCACTCCCTTCGCCACATAGTGGATGTCAGGGGGCAGGTGCCGAGGGTTTAGAGGAGGTGAGGGGACAGTATCTAAGGGGCTCTGTACTTACAGGTGCTGCAGCTGGGGCAGCTTGAACATCCTGGGCGGGAGAGCGGAGAGCCGGTTTCGGTTCAGCTTCAGTACCAGGAGTGTGTTGGCCAAGTTGTCAAAGTACCCCGGTTCCACGGACGTCACTCGGTTGCTGTTGATGGACCTGTCGGAAGTGTGAAGATGAGCTTCTCTCCCTAGTTCTTTGGGAAGTGAAAGTGCATGTATTCTCTGCATATAAAGGCTCTCCAAAGAACCTCACCATCATTTGAAATGATGGACGCTTAAAATCATTAACCCTTTAGGTCCCTGTCCCAACGTCGGCTATGATTCACACCGATTGCTGGGGAAAGCGACTGGAACATTTGAAGACTATGAACACTCGTTAGAGATGCTCATCCAATTTCTGTGAAAGTCATTTATTAATGAAACACTCTAGTGGTTTAACTTGGATTACTATTTTTAAAAAGAAGCACTTAGTTTCTAACAGAGGGTATCTCATTTTTGTAACCCAAAGTGTAATAAAATGAAGACTGTAGTTATTTGGGCTTACAGCAAATTATCAGTAAGAAAGTTACATTTTGATCCATCAGCAGTAAAAAAAAGGACAGAGTTCAGCATACCTTAAAGTTGAGTCTTTTTAAAAATATACTACAACATTTTCATCACATGTGGAAACTTCTGTTAAAAACAACTCGACTTACAGATATTTGAGTTGCAGGGGTGGAAGCGCAGTTTTAAGCTCTGAAATGTTATTGCCACTCAGGTCCAAAGTTTCTAGGGACTGAAAGTGTTTCACATGTTCAGGCAGTATTTCCACAATCTTGTTTCCAGCTCTGGAAGTCAAGAATAGCACAGATAACAGGGTTGATGGTACAACAATCTGAAAGGTGAAAAACATTTTCTATCTCTAACTCATTTTTCAGAAATATGGAGAACCGACTGCTCTAAACAGCACTTTTAAAAGTTAAACAGCAACTCCTTAGTCACTTCAATTTTGCGTTAAGCAGTAAATCATAATACTAGAATTATGAAAAGCACTCCTTTATAAACCAGGGAGCGTTTAACAGCTGTGGTTATGGAAATGCTGTGCAATTGAACTGGTTTCTCTTTCTGTTGTTTTGTTAACAGTCTTTCCTCCTTATCATTTTCTGAAATGGGATGTGAAGTGCCTAGCACCGAGCTAGCATTCCAGGCGCTGATGTGTTCTGTTCCCTGTTCTTTCTTTTTGAATCCTAATGCACTTCTAATTCTTCTCTTGGAAAGTGCCCACACTACAGGTGCCAGTGAACTTAAAGTACTCATCAGACTGGGGCTTCTAAAAAGCCATCCTACAGAAATCTTTTTCTTTTAGAAATAGCACCTTTCAATGCACTGCCACAGTCCTCAGTATCAGTGGATATGCTCGCTCCAGAGCTTTGAATATTGTAAGAGTATTACATAAGAGTCCGTCGGTCTAAACAACCCCTGGGAGTAACTAGATTTTTAAAAATTTTGACCTTAACTGTCTTAAACACTGGACTAACCATGATGTTCAACATGGTAGCTACTTGTGGCTCTTTAAAATTAAATGCTGAAGTTCCATTCCTTAGTCACAGTACCCACATTTCAGGTCCTGAATAGCTACATGTGCCCAGCATGTGCCAAATGGGCCAGGACACATACAGAGCATTCCCAGTATTGTGGGAAGTTCTGTTGGTAAGCACTGTCCTGGACCACAAGCGAAAAAATGAAACAAACAAAGAGGCCACGCACGTCAAAGCTCTTAAAATATTGATACAGCAGTTTCCAAGAGGGAAATTCAGCATTAAGTGACAACCTTGCTAGGAAACAGGAGCCAAACCGATGAGCAAGCCGTCTTAGCTGTTATATTAGACCAGGTAACTTGGACTTTTTAGACCATCATCAGACAGGGGAAAGTAACATGTCACGGTAGAAAGGTTGGAGTGATGGCAAAGTCCACCTACAATAAAGGGTCTTCTCTTTACAACGTAAGGAACAATGAAACCATCCAAAGGCTCCAAGGAGAACTCTGTATGTGATGTAAGTCACGTGTCGCGACTTCTGCCCACGGTGTTCAGTAAAACCGCTTCAGGGGAAAACGGAGGAAGTGACTTCACGTGCGCATCCTTCTTGCCCAGAACTTCATCTGCATAGTGCTTTGAGCTCAGTAAGTTCTCCTGCACTGCTGTAACTCGTGGGCCTCTCGCCATCACAGAAGGCTCCTGAGAT